CAGGCAGCTCCCCCCTCCCGTCCGTGCCTCCATAGACAAAGCTTTCCAGCGGCCCGGACTTGAGCTCCGCGCCGAGGGCTCAAACCGCCCCGCTTCCAGAAAGAAAAACGCTCCGAAACTGGGGTTCTTTGTCAAGTAAAATTCATCGGTAACGATGAGTCTTGGTTCCCCTTTCTTCTGGAAGCGTCTCTTAGCTGCCCACAGCCCCGGTTAGGAGCGAATACCGTGGGTTCTTTCGCTGCCCTGTGGGTTTTGTAATCCCAAGCCCCAGTGGGCTCGGTAGTGGCTACGAGTACCCTCAGATCGATAGGGTTTTGGGTGGGATAAAACTCCTGAGGTAAGTGAAGTCCTTGGTTTCTCGCCATGGAAAATAGGCTGGGAAGAGCAGTGGTGAAATACAGCTTGAGTCAGTCGGTAAACGCTGCCCAGCTTACTCCCTAGTTATTTTTGGGTGTTCTTAGAATGTGACGAGCTAAGCTTGGGTGTGATCTCAATAGGATGTTGGAAAGGGTCTTTTTTTCCTATCTGGTTTATGGTGTTTTGAAGCTCTTGAGTTTTTCTGTTATGTATGTAATAATTTCTCTATTTTTGTGTTTGTTTTTCTGAATGCCAGGAAGTGGCTTTTCACTCCTTTCTGGCGGTGAATGTTGTTCTCTATACAGTAGCACAAAACAGTAACTTTGTACGAGTGCTTCCCAAGGGACATTGCACTTCCTTAAATCATCATCAGAAATAAAACCTATAATGATTTTTCAAGTCATTTTATGCTAAAATAATAAGCTTATTAAGATCTTGATGTACGAAATTTACAAGAGACCAACAATTGCTGCGTGTATCTTTCAGCGCGGAATTAAGGAGGATAACGTTTGTTTTTTATTTTATAGAACATTATAAACACCACTGGTTCCCAGAAAAGCCATGCAAGGGATCAGGTTACCGATGTATCCGGATCAACCATAAAATGGATCCTCTCATTGGACAGGCAGCACAGCGGATTGGATTGAGCAGTCAGGAACTGTTTCAGCTTCTTCCGAGCGAACTCACTCTCTGGGTTGACCCGTACGAAGTGTCCTATCGCATTGGAGAGGATGGCTCCATCTGTGTGCTGTACGAAGCTGCACCAGCAGGAGGTAGCCAAAGTAACACCAACATGCAAATGGTAGACAGCCGAATAAGCTGTAAGGAGGAACTTCTCTTGGGCAGAACTAGCCCTTCCAAAAGCTACAATATGATGACTGTATCAGGTTAAGATATAGTCTTTGGATGGATCACCTTAAAATGGATGGATAAATTTGGTTTTTACTTTGGGTGGGCACCTCTGGGGATGGATTATGGAATTTAAACCATGTCACAGCTGTGAAGATCTGGCACACGTTAGAGTGGTATACTTAAAGTGACAGTGCCATAGTTTGGACAGTACCTTTCAGTGATTTAATAGCCTGTGAGTCAAAATGATTGCAGCTTGCTAGGGAGTAAGAAGATCTAGGAAGTGTCAGTTTCTCTAAGACACCTGACTTAATTTCTACACCAATTTTCAACCCCAATCTATATTTATAAAGTGATTCTCTGCAGTAAGTCTTGCAGAGTAAATTTGCACTATTACATTTATTAATTGTTAGCATTTTTGGCAGCTCAGTAACAAGACTTATGAACACCATCGTACTGGAAATCTTAATTTTCAGACTTTTACCTAGCACTTACAAATATGTATAAATGTACATAAGATAAAAATAGTAAGAATAACCTGGGGAAATGGTCAGATCTTTACATTGGCCTCAAAAGTAGCAAGTGATCAGAATCTGCCATGGCAACAGGCTTTAAAAAGACCATATAAAGACACTGTCTGAACTGTGGTGTTAGCACCAGCCAGCTATCTGTACATTTGCTAGCTTGTAGTTTTCTAAGACTGAGTAAACTTCTTATTTTTAGAAAGTGGAGGTCTGGTTTGTAATTTCCTTGTTCTTAATTGGGTAAAAGTCTTTTCCACAAACCACCATCTATTTTGTGAACTTTGTTAGTCATCTTTTATTTGGTAAATTATGAACTGGTGTAAATTTGTACAGTTCATGTATATTGATTGTGGCAAAGTTGTACAGATTTCTATATTTTGGATGAGAAATTTTTCTTCTCTCTATAATAAATTGTTTCCTATCTTGGCATTTTAATTAATCTCTTGTCGTGATTACATAGGATCAGTTAAATTATTTTTGTCTCACAGTAGAAATAAAATAGGTACTATAAAGGCCTAAGAACATCAGTGGCACCCTGATGCTAGGGAACACTTGGTACAGACCTGGATTAATGAAGACATCACATATAAATGCTTGGGAAGTTGAGGGGAATATGCTGTATATGTCACTTTAAACCTTGTAAAAACAGTCAATGTGGAAATAACTCCAGGGCCAGTAATTCCAGGATATGAGGAAAAGGTACAGAAATAACATCCACCAAAGATGACTTGAATAAATCCAGAGGATTAAAGTTTACTTGGCTTCCTGATGAAGGATAATAGCAAACCTAAATGTCCATTGTGACCTACTTGCTCACGAGTTCACAGTTCTTACCTGATGGATTCCCTGCACAATAAGAGTTGGGACAAGTGTCCCTTAGCCTTAAGAGCAGATTCCTGCCTTTTGCTTTCTTCAGATGCAAGACTTTCACTTTAGAAATCATTAAGATTGGATTCAACAAAAGGTATGTTGATCTTTTTTCCCAAACTTTAAAGATTGGCTGAGGTGAAGTGAGAAGCCCATACTTATATGTGTATTCATAGTTAATGGATGATGTAGAGATGTGATTCACGTAAGCACCACACTAATGTCATTTGTGTACAGCACAGCAGATACACTTGAGAGAAATTCCTTACCACTCTACACTTGTCAGAGTGCTGGAGTAAAACTCAAGACTTCTGTTCCTTATCTCCTGTGTACTTTGTTCTGTGAGTGCTTAATAAAAGGCCTACCCACCTTGGTCACTTGAGTCACAAGAACTGCTGTTGGTGCTCTGAACGAAAGGACAGCCATCATTACTTGCCAGCCAAGCTTGCAAGCTATGGGAGAACTGAGCATCGGACTTGCCAGGAGTTGTTGCAGCTCCTGCTCAACTATGAATGAGCCTTTACAATTAGGCAGTAGTAATATGTTGTATCTCCAGTTCATGTCTTTATAATGATCTGTAATATAGCTGGTTATATATAAGCAAAACATAAGACTGAACTGTCCAGCTTTTTTTAACAATTTCTTTTCCTTTGTTTTTTTGAAAGTTCAAATTTACAAATGTGAATTTTACAATGATCTGCATATGTATGGCAATATTCAGCACTTCAAAGTATTGCTAGGGCTTCTCTGGCCCTTTGCTTTCTGGCATGGAGTGGTGGAAACATAAGTGCCCCTGAAGCAGTGAACTTTAAAGACCTTGCTCTGTTGGCATCTGACAAAAGATGTATGACCAAAGCTTCAGAGTGAGCCTGTGTTATAGTAAAGTACAGGTGTAACTCATGCATAGAGTCAAGGTTTAGGCTTGTGTTTTGATACTTTTAAAATTCTCTTACTTTTAAGATGACACTTTAAATTGTTCAATCTGTAAGCAAGAAATTTATTCTAGTGGTAGGAGTACTCAAACCACAATTTCTGTTGTGTTATTTGTCTGCAGACAGCAGAAGTGTATCTGAGTAGAAAGAAAACATTGAGCTTGGCTTTAAAGCTGTATTAAACTTTCATGAAGCTCACTGCTGGCTGAACCATGCTTGGTATATTGTGGTGCTGCCTGCAGCCTTTTCTGCTGCACAGCAAGAGCAGCATCAGAAGGGGTAGCTGTATAGTTGGTCTTTGACGTGAGCTGTGCACATTATGAAAGCATCAGCTGTCAGTACTTTCTTTTTGGTAAATTAAGCATAGCTTTGTGAGGCAGCAAGTGTTCCATCTGTGAGACTGGCATGTGACACTGAACCAAGAGTGAGCCTGCTCCTTTAGATCGTTAACATTTTAGTCCTTTTATGGTAAGGTGCTTTCATTCATGGCATAATTTTTAACTGCAGCTGTAAGTAGTAATTGGTACAACCTATGTCCTCAGAGTTGCTGGGATTTATTCCAGCTAGAATTTAAATATATCCCAATGTGCACACAATGTGCCCTTGTCTGATTTTGAAAGTACTTAGCATACTGTGACAGCAGGGCATAAGGACTCCTGAGAGAAGTGGAGTATGTCTGTAGGAGTAGGCTGTTGCCAATCCTGTGTTTTGTTGCAGGTAGAACAAGCAGCACACTAAGCTAAATGCTTGTCACTTCTGAATTTCATTTAAGGTGCCATTACGAAACAGGCAAGGCTGTTATTTTAATGCAAATGTTAGCGATGAGAACACATTCAAGACCTGCTTGATCAGTGCACGTTAGTTAAATTAGCTGACTTTCCTTGAGGAGCCCTGAATAGTCCTGTAGTTGTTCTGAGGGCAGTCTCAGCTGTAGGAGGCTCTGATGCTGCAGCTCTTCTCAGATCGATGGATCAGTCTACTCAGACTTGTTCACCATTCAGTGAATGTCTTTTTATAAAGTGTATAGTTGCTTTCTAGTTTATGCCAGGTGAGCAATTTTTTTTTTTTTTCTTGCAGTGTATTTCCCCACTGTGCTACTGTGTGGTATCAGATCCTACTACTCAATGCTACTTTTGTTTGGTATAGTTTGGTACCAAACTATTTATGTTTGGTAATGATGCTCCTCCTATAGAGAGTTGTATTACATGTATCCTGTAAGAAGCTCTGTTGTTTTGTTCTCTTTACAGTTGTGTTTTTCTCCTGCTTATTCTGGAGGTGTACATCTGGCTTAAGCAGCCATTTGGACCATAATTTTCTTCTTCCTGTAGACCTTAGTGTCATTTTTTGGTTTGAATAGAGGTGTGAGGATTCTCATTCCATTGCTAATAATGCTGATTTTAGTTTTCCACTTTTCTGCTGACTCTGCAAAGATTTTCAAGTAGATCTGTATATGATAGGCCACTATGCCACAGGATATTATTGGTTTGTTCTATCAATCTACACAAGAATTTGGAAATAACATGAGCCACTTTTCTGATGTGAAAATACCATCACTGGCTTATACTTTTGTTGTATCTCATATTGGATCATAGGATATGAAAGTCTTAATTCCTTATTCATAGGATAAGAAAGTCGTCTATATTTATCACAAAATGAGTCTTCTTGGATCATACCAAGTTGTATGTCTCATGCCATGCCTTAGAGATGACAATTTTGAAGGCTAAATATTGTTAAGCCTGTATATTTTTGACTGTCTTCAATTTAAATGGGTAAAGCTTGAGAGATTATTTAGAAGCAGGGGGAACTGAACTGCAGCAGTAGAACCTTACAAAACAGTTTACTGATGTGCAAACCATAAAGAATCCAGTTAGTGCTTCTGGAGTGCTCAGTTTGTGCTGATGCTTGTAAACATTTCTGTCACCAAATTAAGCAGATGTCATGGAACATGAACACTCAATACGCATAAGGTGTCCTTCTAATTAACCTTGTTTATGCTGGGAGAATATGATCTCTTGTTATTGTGCAGGTTAGCAATGAATACAGCAAAGAACATTGCTGCTTTTCTTTTTTGTGTGTCTAGGTAAAGCTTATTTCTGAATTTCCATAAATCAAGTAGTACTCTACATTTTACAGTGATTCCTCTACTTAATGCCATAATTTTAAGAGAAAATAGTTTATATTGGCAAAAAGCTGCCACTTGACTGAAGAACATTAAAGCTGTTTTTAGTTTAAAGAGTGAAACATGTATAGACTGGAGATAAATAGTTCTCCCAAAAAAGGAATGTGTATTTACACATTCTTGGTGTAATAGCAGAGGTTATTTTTACACATTTCAGATTTACATTCCAATGTGAACACTGAGAAGCAGGATGTTAATTCAGTGGCTTTCAGGGGTTGGTAGAGCAAGCTGGGCTTAGACAATAAATGCTGTATTAATAGTTAGCAGTGACAATTTCATCAACATAGGAATTGTGGGGTATAATTAACATCAGTTGCTTTGACACTCTGCTCTTAATGTATGGTTTCAACCTTTCTTTCAGTAGCAGTTGGAGAATGCACTGTGACAAATTATTGCTGATACAAAGTAGGTCAACAGTAAAATGGCTGACTTACCAGAAATGAACAGATCTAAATTATTGTTAACTTCATGTCTAATGGAATTTTCTTAGTGGCTAAGGCTGAGCTCTTGTGTTTCTCAAGCATGAACCTTGTATACATCTTTTCCTAACTCCTTATTTCCTAACCATTTGATATTTTTGTCTAAACAAGAAGGAGCGTTTCCTCCCAGCTGCTGGGAAGAAATCCACACAAGCAGTAGTGCTGCATGCCTGACAGCAGATGTTTGCCCTTGTAGTATTGCAATGCTGTGACTGCAGAGCTGGCAAGGAAAATTGACTCACAATCAAGGAAAACAAGTGAAATGCTGCATGTTCAGGTTTCCAGGTTTTCTTTACTGAAAGTGACTGGTGACAGCATATGAGGAGGAGAAACAGGATCGTACAGGATGAGAAAAATCCCAGGCTGAGGGAATGTCGATTATGTTTTTGCAGAGCGAAGTGATTCCTGTGGTCAGCTGCTCAGTGTCTCATCATGGCTTGCAACAGTCTTCTAATGTTTTCTTAAGAGGTGTAGCTTTTACCTTTTAGATAACAGGAAACCTCAAGCTTTCACATTCTTTGGGGTACTGTAAAATCCGGTGTGATTGTTCTATGTGCTGATTATGTAACTGAATGAAATGATAATCATGAACCTGAAGCATGCTAAGGATGCAAGGAGAAGAACTTCAGTCTTCTTGGAGCAGCCTTGAATGTAGGCAAAGAGCAGCAGTGTCTGGAATGCCCAAGGATGGTGTCAGGGCTGGGGATGCTGCCCAGCAGTCATAGTTGGCTTCCAGGCAGCAGCACTTACCTAAAGGAGCTCCAGCATGGAGCTAAGGCTTGGCTACATCTTCCGACTCACAGATCAGCTTAAAGACAGATTTCTAGTACCAGTGAGCCATCTGATGACATTGGCTGCAATTAAGATTTTCCAACAGTGTGCCCTTGCTTTCCTATGTTCGATAAAGTTCATTTTTTGCTTTTTGTAATGTAAGAACACTTAATAATTGTTGGGTTTATAGTTTTGCTGGGCACAAGT